AGTGAATGAAATGATTATGGGGCTCTTGTTTGATTGCACTCTTCTTTTTATTATAAAATTTGCAAAGCTTTATTGCTTTTAAAATATATGCATATGTAATAGATTTAGATCTTTTGAAAAATTGTATTTGAAAAACATACATTCATTTTTTCTGACTAATGTTTATTTTAAAGTCTGTCTAGTATGGTATATATTATGTATGCTATATGTACTTTTTTAATCATTTTTTCCACAAAATGATTTGTCTATATTTATAAGGAAAATATGAATACTTAGAATAAAATACAGTTACAGCCACATGTCAACTTATGGCAAGGCTCACCTCAGAGACTGTCCCAGAATATATTATCCTATGTATAAATGCCCCCCTTATTCTTTCTGTTTATTATAAATAAAAACATCTTCAAAAGATATTATGCACCATAGGATTCTTGTATTTCAATTCAGATGATTAAAATTCCATGAGAAACATGGTCATTTATTACTGTTTTAATAACAGTAAAAGGAAAAGATCTTTTGATAATATGTCCACTCTCCTTGATGTAGAAAATAGTAGGTGTGTAGAAGATGAATATGGTCATGTTCTCCTGGTAATTTGTTAAATTATATTTACTATTAATTGTGAAATACAGAAGAGAACTAAAAGATTCCAGGCTACTATGAAGTAGATGGATGACACCTATACCTTTGAGAGAATGTGATAGAAACCTGGAAATGCTGAAATCTGAACATACCAGCATCTGAGAAACTTTTGGCTTTGGATGAGTCAAAAACCGTTTTAATTTTCTGCTGGCTTGAGAGCTATTTAGAAGTTTGGGCCGGGCACGGTGGTTCATGCCTGTAATCCCAGCGCTCTGGGAGGCCGAGGTGGGTGGATCATGAGATCAACAAATCGAGACCATCTTGGCCAACATGGTGAAACCCCGTTTCTACTAAAAATACAAAAATTAGATGGGCGTAGTGGCTCATGCCTGTAGTCCCAGCTATTCAGGAGGCTCAGGCAGAAGAATTGCTTGAACCCAGGAGGCGGAGGTTGCAGTGAGCCAAGATTGCGCCACTGCACTCCAGCCTGGCAACAGAGTGAGACTCCGTCTCAAAAAAAAAAAAAAAGGAGAAGTTTGGACTGATGTTTCATTGTAGTACTGCTGTGTAGATACGATATCATTTCATTTACTATCATTAGGTAGAATCGTATTAGAAGATGTACTTTATCACAACTATTACCCTTAAGTTTTTAAATTCATATTTCTGGGTTTTTCTAACTTTTTTATTTTTAATTTTTGTGGGTACATAGAAGGTGTATGTAATTATGAGTTTCATGATATGTTTTGATTTCTGGGTTTTAAATGAGCTGGTTTCCTTAAATTTTAGGTAGAGCGATACAGTTAGTCTTATGAGCCTGGAGTGTGATTCAGTTTTAAATAGTTACAACATATGATTTATAGAACAATAGTAGCTATTTTTAGAGAAATCTATGAAGTTTTATTAGCATTTTATACTTAGATTTTTTAAGACTCTGAATTTAAGCCCAGAAATTAGTAAATTACTTCACTTTCTGTTTTGTGTATTACATGAAACAGTCTGACAGTCAATACGGTGAAAGCAATAGCCATAAAAATCTTCAGAATCTCAGTTCAGGTCTTTCTACCTATTGATCAGGATAAGTTTCTTTGGACTACTGAATTGGATTCTCAGCTGTGTAGTAAAGCTTCATGTTTCATATGGAATCGTTTGCAAAAATAGTAATCATATTATATATACATATAGCACGGAAATGAAGTAAAAGTCTTGTCTAAAATTGCCCAACAAGTTAGTAACGTTACTAATTTTACATTTGGGAAGATGTTGCTATAAATCACGTGCTCATACTGCTAGCCAAATGATCACTTATTTCTCTGAGAAAACACAAAGCATGGAATTAAGTTGTCGTGAATGAGCTTAGTGGTGTCTGTGTTTTTCTTTTAATGAACTTATAGATTTACAAATAAGAGCTATCTTCTCTTAGACAGTATAAATATTTTATGAATGCAATTGAAATGGACACATTTTATAATAGCATATTATTTTGGTTATTCAAGAGGTAATTATTTTTTAAAAAGAGAAAAGTATTTATTATTTAGCCTCATAATGGTATGTTTAAATTTAACATTTGTGTTTATTTCCACTTAAATCTTACTTCCCAGAAAGTTCTTTTTTCCCAAAATGAAATGTTATGTTTATTAGATTTAATTGATATTTGTAACACACTTCTTTCTTCAGTAAGGACCATTAGTTTGAAGTGGGAAAACTGTTTTTGTTAGGCATTTGGTATATTTTAGAACCAAAGATTATTTTAAAATAGTTATATTAACAAATTCACTTGTTCCTTGGTCTTATATTGTTGGCATTTGAAATGTTTTTTTATTCCTTGTATTTTAAGCCGTTTTTGATTTCAGGATTTTAGCATAAGTACTTGCTAATCACAACAATTATTTTTAAAGACCTCCTGTAATCACAGTTATTATTAGTC